CCCTAACCCTAAACCTAACCCTAAACCTAACCCCAACCCTTAACCTAACCCTAACCCTAACCCTAAACCTAACCCTAAACCTAACCCCAACCCTTAACCTAACCCTTACCTTAAATTGAATCGGCTTGCCTTCAAAACGCTATTTAAAGCGCCCTTCTTTCTCCGCGCTGGCTGTTGTCGCCCTGTTGATGACATCAGCGACGCGCTTTAATCGGGCGGGGTTTGGTCGAGCGCGGTTTTGACGGGTCACGGTCTGTCTCTCCTAGCCACAGAAATGTTGGGGGCAGTATTGGCTGTTAAGACAAGGACTGCCCTAGTCAAAAATAAATAAATAAATCTAATCCAAAATGATTAACTGGTATCTAAATAGAAAAATCCACATTGTCTACAACCACGTCCCAAAATTTGCCCCATGGCACAGTTCATCTAGGTCAATAACCTCTGTAGCTCAAGGTTGAACAATGGAATCCTTGGTGCTCTCAAAGCTGGTTGTTTGCTTGCAGATGTTTGCTTATATTAGGTAACATCCTAACACAACGTCACAACATTGCAGATCAGCCATGTTTACACACCCACAGGAAAGAGGCTACAAGAGGCCAAGGAGGAAACAAAAAATCCAGAGCTTATCCTCCTCCCCAGCAACCAACACTCAAGAGAAGCAGGGACTAATCCCAGACAAACAATCAAACAGAAACCAATAGCCTAATTAAGGGACGACCGAGGAGAAAAAACCACACCCACATCAACCCTGGCAGAACAAGTTACAGGTAGTCCTTGACTTATGACAATAATGGAATCTGCCCATTTACAGTTTCAATCGTCTTAAAGGAAGTCATTGCACGACCCGTGTGATTTTACGACCTCTTTTGCAGCGGTCATTAAGGGAAGCCATTGTTTCCTACCCAAGTGTTTTTGCCCAAAGCCACAAGTAAATGCCAATGTGGGGCAAAAAATGTAAATCTCGGTTATGTGACCACTGCAAATAGCCACGAATGCAGGGTGGTGGCTGGATGGGTGAAATGCGGCCACACTCACTATCCAAACTTCAGAACCAGGTGATAAGTACCTATTGGGGAGAATCCATTGTTAACGTGGAATGGTTGCTAAGCAACCGTCGTAAGCCAAAGACTATCTGTACCGTATGTAAACAGGGGGGAAAACTCCACACTTACTGACCCTGTTGACATTACCTAGTTGCATAGCGAAATATCTACAAACTCAGAGCACCAAGGATACCACAAAGCAAGCTAACAAACATCTACCCTCACATGACAACTAATTGTGTTGTTTGTAAACTTCTCTCCAGATAGACCTTCTCTCTTTTGGACTTGTGCTGGAGCCCATCTTCAGGGAACTTCTCTCTCTCTCTCTCTACAAAATGTGCCCCTTTTCTGAGAAAGAGAAATTCCCTGAAAATGGACTCCAGCACAAGTCCAAAAGAGAGAAGTTCTAGCTAGAGAGAAGTTCCCTGAAGATGGGCTCCAGCATGAGTCCAAAAGAGAGAAGTTCTAGTTAGAGAGAAATTCTCCGAGGATGGACACAAGTCCAAAAGAGGGAAGTTCTAGCTAGAGAGAAATTCTCCGAGGATGGACTCCAGCACGAGTCCAAAAGAGAGAAGTTCTAGCTAGAGAGAAGTTCCATGAAGATGGACTCCAGCACAAGTCCAAAAGAGAGAGGTTCTAGCTAGAGAGAAATTCTCCGAAGATGGACTCCAGCACGAGTCCAAAAGAGAGAAGTTCTAGCTAGAGAGAAGTTCCATGAAGATGGACTCCAGCACAAGTCCAAAAGAGACAAGTTCTAGCTAGAGAGAAGTTCCCTGAGGATGGACTCCAGCATGAGTCCAAAAGAGACAAGTTCTAGCTAGAAAGAAGTTCCCTGAGGATGGACTCCAGCATGAGTCCAAAAGAGAGAGGTTCTAGCTAGAGAGAAATTCTCCGAGGATGGACTCCAGCACAAGTCCAAAAGAGACAAGTTCTAGCTAGAGAGAAGTTCCCTGAGGATGGACTCCATCACGAGTCCAAAAGAGGGAAGTTCTAGCTAGAGAGAAGTTCCCTTCACTGCTGGCTCTCAACAAATAAAGTCAATGGGAAATAAAGTCAATGGGAAATAAAGTCAATGGGAAATAAAGTCAATGGGAAATAAACTCAATGGGAAATAAACTCAATGGGAAGCCAGTAGAACTTCTCTAGTTCTAGCTAGAGAGAAATTCTCCGAGGATGGACTCCAGCACGAGTCCAAAAGCTCGGAGGACAAAACCTCTGGTCCCGGTGACCGACCCAGATTGGATCCTGCACTAATATCCTGGGACACATCTACAGACCGTCCTCAACTTACAACAGTCCATTTAGTGACCCTTCAAAATTACGTCACCGAAAACGTGAATTGTGTCCCTTTTTTCAAAGCAATAACCTTTGCAGCATTCCCCACGATCACGTGATCAAAATTCAGATGATGGACCACTGGTTCATATTGATGACTATTGCAGTGTCCCGGTGGAGGGGGGGGGGCATGTGATCTGCTTTTGCGACCTTCTGATGAGTGAAGTCAAGGGGGAAGCCAGATCCCCTTAACCTGAGTCACTCATCAACTGCAGGGAATCAACTGCAGCAAAGAAAGGTCGTAAAACAAAGCAAAAACTCACTGAGCAAATGCCTCGTTTAATGATGGAAATGTCGGGCTCAATTGTGGTCGTAAGTTGAGGGCCACCCGTGTTCGCCTTCGTTCGAGAGCAAGCTGCCATACCAACCTTTCATACTGGTGCAGGTCCTTCAGCAAATCTTCCCGCAGTTGTGGGCAATCGAGGGCGCCAGGCTCAAAAGCAGAGATCAGGTATACAAAGGGATCCACGAGAGGGATGGTTCCCAGAGATTCGGTACAGGCCTCCCGGAGTGCCCGGAGGACTTCCGACCGATCGTAACGCTGCCCCATCAACCGTTTGAGAGTGTGAAGTTCCAGATCAGCCTTGCTCCGGGCAAAATAGACCTTTTTGCCGGCTTGCCGGGCCTCCAACACAAGGCGGGCGTGAGAATCCTCAAACCTGTCATCGGTCACCAAGACAATCAGGTCGGCCTCCCTCATCCATTGATCCGCGTGGCCCTCGCCCTCCATCGACCGCTCCCACAGCAGTAAATTATTATAAATCGGGTCGGGGTACATGATGGGCTTTTCAGATTTCACCGGAGCCCCCACAGGGGCTGATCCCACATCCCCTTCAGTCATGTCTCGTACAGCATTAAGAAGAGCCGATTTCCCGACATTGGATTTCCCCACGAAGATGATGGAAACATCCCCACAATCGGGGGAACCCGCAGCAGAATTTGGAGAGGTCATGTTTGGTGTTCAGAAAAAGATTCACCTTTCTTCTGAGCAGGCTGTAAACCTTTAAAGAAAGAAAATCAAGGGTCAGAGAAGAAAAAAATGTCTTTTCTAAGCTAAAATCAGGTCCTAAGGATTTAATCAAGAGAGATGCAGTGGCTCAGTGGCTAAGACGCTGAGCCCGTCGATCAGAAAGATCGGCAGTTCGGCGGTTCGAATCCCTAGCTCCGTGCAACAGAGCNAAGCAAGAGCGTTGTTAAGTGAGTTTCACCACATTTTACAAGTTGGCCACGCCCACCCAGTGACATGGCTGGCAAGCCTCTCCCACCCAGTCACATGACCAGCAAGCCACTCCCACAAAGCAGGCCACACCTACAGAAGAGGTTCTAAAAAATTGAAACCCACCACTGCACTGGTGGCACTCAGAACCCTCTCTGTGGGCACAGCAGCCGCCACTCCAGCCCAGCTCTACCATGCATACACGCACGCCTCCTGCTGGCCAGGTAGTCTTGGGCTCTCCACAGTGCATGCGTGGGGGCAGGGCGCATGAGCAGAATGAATGTGCATTCATGGAGGGGAGCATCCATGGGGGGCACTTGCATTGCATTTTGGAGGTTCGCTCAGTGTCCCTGTGCCCTGTTTTGGACCTGGAAAGCCTCTTGCACCAACCTGGGCAAGAGGGTGGGGCAGGGCGCATGTGCGGGGGATGCATGCATACGCACATGGGGACATGCGTATGCATGGGGTGTTGGGGTGCATATGCAGGGACACATTCATTGGGGGTGCTCACGTTGCATTTTGGGATTATGCCCGCATTCACATGTATGCATGTATGCTTCGGGCACTCAGCATCAAAATGATTAGCCATCACTGATGTAGACCGACCCAGATTGGCTCCTGCAAGATTATCCAGGGACACAAACTCTGCCTTCATTTGTGGGCACAGTAGTGTTACACTCACCGTTTCAAGCTCCTGAATGAACAAGTAAACAAAACCAGAAGGGGAATTTTTCAAAGGGGAAAAACTGAGCATCTGTCTGAGGAATCACAGCTCTAAATAAGGCTCCCATGTCTGACTCAGAAGGTGTTCCCTCTTTCCCTTCCCCCCCACCTCTGCCTACCAAGCATATGCTCCAACACTTAGCTACGGTTCTGTAATTGCACCTAAGGTATGATGAAATCTTACTAGGTGACTTTAAAGAAGGATGCTTGAAAAGAATTTCAAAGGGTTCATTTCCTCTGTATATAACCTATTGTTCCTTTACCATCACGGCTCCCAGCTCCCAGCCCGGTGCAGTTGGCTTTTCAGGAATTCCGCCTTTACACCCTTTTTCTGTTTTGAGTGCCTGAAACCTGAAGCCTGACGGTACACTTCTTGGTGTTTAATGGTTCTATTATCCCCTCGACATGCACACCCAGAGCTGCCGCTGCTGTCAGCAAGAAATGCCTGCGCTCAGCAAGGGGAGAAAGTTCCTTCCATCCTGCCACTTTCCATCCATTATCTTGGCACCGTCTCTTCCCCCGAATTTCTCATCTTTTTTTCCAAGCGATCTATCCTCTTGAGCACGGTGTCAAATTGGCTGTCTGGAGAAACAGCCTTGTTCTTCAAACGTTTAAGGAAATTAATTTAATGCGCGCATGTACATGCCTTTAAAAAGTCGTCAGCTTGCCAGCAAAGCATCTTGCTAGGGCTTCGGAAGGCATCTGATGAAATTTTGCAATTTCCTTAATGCAGAGAAAACTTTGGGCTCATTTAAAGACTCAACAAACAGGGACAAAAAGTCCCTGGTCTGTGTGTCTGTCTCTTTGTGTGTGTGTTTATATGTGTGTATGTATGTGTGTATGTGTATGTTAGGGGTATCTTCGTTGGGAGACAGAAAGTAGTGCAGCAGAATGTACAGCTAGAGAAAAAGAATGTTGCTAGTAGAAACACACAAATAGAGTTTCAGACACTGCTAGTAAAAACAAGTAGCTTTACTACTGATAATTGCTTCACAAGCAATGATAGTAGATATTAGTTGAAACACAAATCAAAGAACAAACAATAGCTTACAGTCGCAGTTCTCATTCCAGCCGTCAAGTCATCAAGCATAGGACAAGCAGAGAGAGAGAGAGGGAGGGA